CTTCACTGAAGGTCGTTCCCCTATCCGCCAACTATCGACGCCTCAAGTGGCCAGCACTTAGGCTAACACCACCCTTATAGATAGTTCAGATGAGTATCAACAGGTACCCAGCGCATGAGGCAGTGAATTAAGTAATGAAGCGCTTGACTCATGCCTCATGACCAGAGAGTCTTAGACCAAAAACTCAGGTCAAGGTGGCGTTCACTTACCTCCAAGATCCCATTTAAGGCCCTCAAAGGGCCTCTCGCAAAGACCAACAATTGGAGGGAGAAGGGACACCAGAAGCGGTCACGTATGCTTCGTCGAAGTTCGTGAACAGAACCCTGCTCACTTGTTGGTAACTGACAAACCACTTTTCGAGCTTACACACCTCAATTTCCCCTGTTGTTGCGTTTTTTCCAGAGTTGTGACGTACTATCAACTAGCCATAGTCGCTTGGTCAAGCAGACCTCCGAAAATCATACCACAAGCATTTACTTGTCAATTTGGGTTTGCCGATTTTGCGTTCGTTCTCTGCTAAAACTAGGCGTTTAGTCACCTGCGACCCCGCAGGCAAGTTAAACCACACAAGCCAGCAACCGAATTCGTTATGGGTGATCTGTGCACCTAATCATATTTTTTTTTTTCATGAAAACTACACCCACCAAAGTTTAGCCGCCGATGAAATGCGGCTGAATTCACTGGGTATTCTGCAGGAGATACTATTTATATTGCCATTCCTGACTGTCATATATGCTCCAGGATCTACTCTGATCATTTCATTGCTTTTTTTTCTGTAGTTTACATGATTGAGCGAAAGCCACTCGTTAACAAGTCAACTCGTTACGCATATGAAGGCACAGAGGCCGTACGCAAAAATGGTAAGTGTTCGAATTTAATGTAACTTCCATTTTCAGTTCCCCTTAATCTTGCAGCCTTCAATTGCGGAATTATAGAGGCGGCCTTGACGAATGCGGGCTTTGTAAGTTCACTTCTTGCATATGCATTTGTGTAGTAGCTGTTGCCCAGTTGCGTTGAGAGTCCAGTCTATCATAAGTCCGAGTGATATTATTTACCATATTTGCTGATAAAACGAATTTTGGTTGGTATAGGGGTCATGAAAAATTTAAAAAGCATCATCAGGAATTGTCGTAACCACTTATCTACCTCATTTGTCGCCGCACTTAGTGGCAGTTTCGTGCAAATGAGCTCAACCGTTTGCGAAGCCTGTTCTGGGCTGTCTAT